CTTAATTAAAAAGAACACTGAGTGAAGGCTGCAGGTCTGGGCCTCGGTAAAATTGAAACACGTTTGGGTTTATGTTTCATTTTATAAGTGAAAATAAAGTTTCTACTCAGTGTGTGAGTGCATGTTTGAATGCTGTGGGCAAGGGATGGAGGAAGGGGATGCTCCTCGGGCATGGTGCTGCAATGCTGACCGTCCTCTGGTGTTTTTCCCCAAGGTCTGGCTTCTTCCTCTTCTGTTCAGAGTTCCGCCCCAAGATCAAGTCCACAAACCCTGGCATATCCATTGGGGATGTAGCGAAGAAACTGGGCGAAATGTGGAACAACCTCAGTGATGGTGAAAAGCAGCCTTATAACAATAAGGCAGCTAAACTGAAGGAGAAGTATGAGAAGGTAAGTGTGGTTGTCACTTGTGCCTCCTCTGTACCGGCTCTTGCACTGATGTGTTTCTGTAAGGTAGACCCAGTTCAGGTGGCCCCAGCACGGTGATCACCTCCTGCTTACAGCCCTGTTCTCATCGTGCTGTGCAGCTGAGCTTCGTGTAGGTTGGGGCAGAGCAGGATAGAGAGCCACAGGTGGATTCCAGTGAGGAGGGAGAGCTTTCCCCAGCGATGCCCAGTGTTGCTCCAGCAAAGGCTTTGCTATGCTGTTACAGGAACTTTGTCCCGTTATCAGGAAACTTTTAAGAGAGGCTGGGTTCTCATCTCCTCTTCAAAGAAATAGCCATAAAACGCAGGGTTCACGGCCTCTGTCATCCATGGGCAGTTGAGCACCCTGAGGTGTCAGCACAGTGTGTACTCCAGTGCTGGCTGTCTCCTCTCTAGGGGTGCAGCTCTGGAAGGCCAGTCTCTTTATGTAAACTCCTGCTGCTGTACAAATGCTCTGTGTGTTTGCTGCTTAGAGCAAATTAAGACATCCCCTTGACTTTGCAGGATGTTGCAGACTACAAGTCTAAAGGAAAGTTTGATGGCGCAAAGGGAGCAGCAACCAAAGCTGCTCGGAAAAAGGTAGAGGAAGAAGATGAAGAGGAGGAGGAGGATGAAGAAGAGGAGGATGAAGATGATGATGATGAATAAAACTGTACAATACTTGTCTCCATGTGAATACCATAGAGTAGGGGAAACACCATAAATGAAGCACCTCTTATTCGAGATGGTGTCTCTTGCCCGTATTAGGCTTAATTAAAAAAAAATTTGGATTCCGATCGCGTTGTAGTTTCTAAAAGTGCTCTAGAAATTGTAACTGGTTTACATGAAGTGGCCATGGGTGTAGTGAGCACCCTGAAACTGTATCAAAGTTGTACATATTTCCAAACATTTTTAAAATGAAAAGGCGCTCTAGTGTTCTCCTAACTCTGTGCACTTTGCTGTTGGTGTAACAAAGCATTTAAAAATGTTTCAAGCATTTTTTTAATTTGTAAGGTGGTGTTACTATATGGTTATTGGCTAGAAAATCCTGGGTTATAAACTGTACATATCTATAGTTTGTAAAAACTAGACAGATTCTTGTGGTACATGCTTAGAGTTATGATGCCTTAGAGGAGCAGTGATTACTTGGAAAGGCTGTACGTTCCCCGGGGTGCCATGGCCCAAAGCATGCACTGTGAGGGTAGATCTATTTACACTACAGTGGGCGTCCATTTAGCTTAAAGTTGTCTTTCTGTATATAGTGAAATAGCATTCTGCTGCCATTCTTAGTTGTGGAAGGGGGTTCAGCTGGCATGAGAAGTGTATGGATTTTTTTAGTTAAGTGCGGTAGTTTTTAAACTGAAACTGTAGACATCTCTTCATCGTCAACTAAGTGAAGAGCCAGTGCAGCAACTGAAGTTCAAAAACACTCTGTACTTAAATGAATTTGCAACGTTCTGTTTTTTTTGTATGTTTAGAATGCTGAAATGTTTTTGAAGCAAAATAAACAGTATTACATTTTTAAAACTGTTCTTGACAACATTCTAAATTTCTGGTTTAAAAAGGATCTTAACAACAGCAAGAGGTTCATTTTGAAGTCTGTGGCATCCCTCAGGGCTGGTGACTTAGGAAACATTCTGACTCAAGGATTAAAAAAAAAAAAAAAATTAAATAAAAAAATGGTGGCCAGCCAAAACTGGCTGAATTGAAAGAGATGGCTGCTCCAGCTAATATGCAATCGTAACTGTTTATGGCTGAGTGGCATAAGATGCTATGCAAGTTTGAACTTTATTACTTGAACTTGGGAGCCTAAATGAACATTCATGACGTAATTGTTTGTTTGTGTGTGTATATAGCAGCATTCAGAGATGCAGAGAAAGGTAGGTGGCTAGGAATGAGGCTGACACCATGGAATAAGTATAAAAGCATAGTTTGGATTTTTTTTTTCAGTTGTGTTGGGTAAATTTATAGCCCAAATGCATTGCTGTACATATTAAAATGTGCCTTTTTTGTCCTGTGTTAAACTGTTTCAGACTTGTGGTTTTTTCTAGCCTCTTGATTCATGGCAGGAGCCAGGCGCCTACCCTAACTCCCTGCTGAAGTAGGAGCGTGGCGCAGGTACTTAGTGTGTGTCCTTTCTCTAACAACGGGAGTTCTAGCAGGAATTGGGTGCTGTGGGGTGGGTTGGGGCAGCTGGGCATGTCTTTCCCCTTTGGTGACCAGCTGGCTGTGTTGAAGTCTTGCCTTCTTTACAAATCCGAGCTGAGGATGTTTTGCAGCCCTTGAAAGCGAAAGGTAACACGCCTGGTCTCTGAACTGGTGACTCCAATCTCATTTTTACTTAGCATGGAAATGGCACCAGCTGGGAAAACTACAGCACTCCCTCTCTACCCCTGAATTCCTTCCTTGTGCTGGCCGTAGCTAGCAGTTGGTGTTGGCTTGGCAGCGAGGAGGAGATGGGGTGTGCCAGGGTACTTGGATAAATAGCAGGTCAAAGCTGTGGGCTGCTGTGTTCAGCTGATTTAAGAGGCCAGGGTAACTCAGGGGTGTAAATGGTGGGTATGGGCTGCTGCCACTGCTGCTTTGGAGCCAAGTCGTAGATTAATGAGCGCCAGGCTTACAGGCAGTAACTACTTAGAATGTGGTTAAAACTTCTTTGTTGCCTAATTGGGTAGCACATCTGGCTTCCTCTGACTTCTCAGCAACCCTACCATAACTTCTCAACAACAACAGCTTGGCAAAAGTCTGATCTAGTGTTGAGATGAACTGAAACCTGAAAGCGAAACTTTCAGGATGGAGCAAGCTAATAAACTTTCATGAAACATAGAAACATGTAGTAACGTTTATTTTTAAGGCTAAGTTACAGCTTGATCACTTAGAAATACTTCTATAGTTGCTTAATTTTGGTAATTTTTAGTATCTAATGCACAAAAAAAAAACCCAAGTGTGAAATTTGCCCCTATTTTATGGGCAGTTGCATTTAAAAAGCCTCAATAAAGCTGCATCTGGAAAAGAAATAGGTACTTTTGTATTTGCTGCCCTTTCTGCATGTCTCCCGATGCAAGGGAGAAGGCAACTGGAGATTCCAGCACGTGGAAATTTGATGGGGAAGTGGTGGAGTCGAACAAAAAAGTGATGGCATCAGTTCAGGAGCTCTAATACTGTTTCTATTGTCTAGTTGGCAAAATCTCCCCTTAGCCACGTATGGGAATTAGTGTAGATCACTGCTGTGCAAATCGAGCTTGGCTTTGAATTAACTGCTAGTGAGCTGAGCCCCTATTGATAGTATTAGCAAATGAGGACTAGAGCTGACACCTCTTTGTCTTTGTTATATTGGAAATCTATTGAGTTGCAGAGCTTGATTAAGGTCTTGGACCTTACAGTGCGCTGCCTATTGCTGCTCTGCACACACCTAAAATAAGGAATTCCTCGGGAATGCTGGTCAATACAGCGTTCCAGCAGGACTCCAGGGACTCAAATTTGGGTATTGCAGATGTAGTGATGATGTTTCTTCCCCCGGTACTCTGCTGTTGATAAATACCACAGTGTGGATTTATATAAATAACACAATTCCACCCCCCTCCACTGTTCTCTGTTCTGAGATGTCATCTCAGCTATTGGGAACTGCTTAATTTCACCCAGCTCTGTTGTTTTTTGATAGAACACCCTCCAAATGCTCTTCCTCTGCTTTGAAATGGTTGTGGTGTTTCAGAGCAGACATGTCTGCTTTGAGCTGCTGCACAGCTCAAACTTTTAGTTTGACTTTAGTCCCAAGCCAAGCACAGTAAATATGTCTCTTATTAACTCCACAATATGTAGAGAAGGGTAACGATAAAATAGATTTGGGCAAAAGGAGGGAAGGGATGAAGAGAGACTCTTCCTTTCTTGGATTTGACAGAGCTGGCTTGAGAGTGCCTGTGTTTGCAAAATGTGATGTGTTGCATCCCCCTGTGCCTGCTCAAGTTGGGCTGAGGTGGGGACTGGGGGCTTGGTTAAGAAAAAGGGAACATGCTGGCTCTGCAGCTGCTAAAACCTCCTCCCTGCTCTGGGGTAGTAGAGTGTGGTTTGACTGGGCAGGATGGTCCCTCTGGATGCCTAAACCAGTGGCAGAGGTGTGAGAGGTTTTGCTCAAGAGAAAGTGTCTGAGGGTGTTGTGGGGCAGAGCTGGGCAGAGAGGGACAGCACTAACCCGTGTCATGCAGGTTGTTTCCCATGGTTTGGTGCTGTTTGATTTGCACTCAGGACTGGGTGTACTTTTGAGAACACCGTTGCTACCAAAATGCATCACATCCCTCTGAAACAGAACCAGCTGGGGGCCTGTGCTGTGCAGGGCAGAGCCTGCCTGTGCTGAAAATGAGCCCCAGAGTCTTAGCACTACCCAGGGAGGCAGAGGAAACTGCTCTGTACCCTGTGTATTCTGAAATTCAGTTGAGAGATGGTAAATATCTGGTATGAGCTAAATGTGAGCACTTAGACTGGGGGAAGGGAGGGGGGGGCTCTGGGGGAGAGACTGAATTGGGGGAGTTCCCCTGTGGGTCTGGGGGTCACTCTCCACAAGCAGGCACGAGGAAAACCACGTTGCAGGATGGTTTCCTACTGCTGTGTCGGTACCCTAACACATCTGTGGGGAAGCAGTGCATTAATTTTTCTATAATAAAAATTAATTAAAAATCCTACTCCAAATGCATATTGAATCAATTAGCAGCGAACGTCTGCAGCTCTAATGGAGGTCCATAGGAAGGTGAGAGTCTGCTTTGGGGATAGGGCTGGGGATACAGGCAGAGTGAAAACATCTCTCTTGTCTGCTCCCTTTGAACAGCTGATTTTTAGGCAGTTTTATTCACTCCTAATAAACCCTGCAGGAGCAGCAGCGAGGTGCAAGGGCTTCTGTTGGCTCTGGATCAGGTGGTGGCAGGTGAATGGCTTTTCACTTCCAGCCTCCAGCACAATTCTGGCAGCTGCCTCAAGTTTGTTTTCCCTCTGCTCACTCAGGCTGTTGCTTCACAGGCAGAGGAACATCTCCCAAGTAAGCCCTCTTCTGCTGCAGGTTTTGGGAAGCTTGGATGAGGAGGAGAAGCTGAGATGGGAGCAGGAAGCTGCATTTCTGGCCATTCTTTCCGATGAGCCCCACGCTCCCCTCTCTGAATATTCAGCCGAGCTGGCTTTCCTCTAAAAGATAACGGGAGGAACTGTGACAAGTGGCATATTTATTTCTTTCTGCTAGGGCTGCACCACATTTTAATGCAATAAACTGAATTGCAAATCACAGCAGCACTGCAAACAGTGTGCTGGGAGACCCTGTTAGGAAGCTGCTGCTCTTTAAATGTGTGTCAGCTTGCAGTGGGGAAGGGACCAAATAACCAGCATGCCTGAGGGAGTGGGTTTCATCCCCTATGAGGTATCTTTGTCCCTTTCTGGCAGCGTGGGCTCCAGTGGGAGTGGGGTGTGTACCTGCCCCTGCTTGGGCAGCATTTGGCAAAGCACTTTGCAAACATCTCATCCTTCTGATAGGTCTCATCTGTACAAGGTAAGGCAATATGTGGATGAGGGGGGGTGCTCCTTGGCTGTGCTAATTCTCTTGATTGGAGTTGTCTGCTGCTAAGAGCTCTTCCCTGAGTGTCCTCTTGCACCTGGATCCCTAAATTAGGCAGGAGGAAGCAGCACAGCCCTGCTGGAGCTGACAGCTATGTGAGCTCTGACAGTGGTGAGTACCTCCTCCTCTTGTTCCTGGATGTGGCGTGGACTCACAGAAACACTGTAAAGTGGCTAAACCAGGGCTAGTCTTTTATGGAGCAGGATTGGCAGGTGACCATTCCAGAAGTGGAGAGCCCGAATGTTGAATAGCAAGCTGGTGCTGTGATGGGACTAAGACCTTTGGAGGCTGGGATGGATAAAAGCAAACCTTTGTCTCGCTGAGATGAAAATGCATTAACCGTGGTAAAGGGATGTCTGTCCTGTAGCTGTGTGCCCTAACACGGTTGACTTCTTTTGTCCCTGGCTGAATCCAGCAGCCAGGAAAACCACAGCTGGGAACCAAGCCTTGCTGTGGGGCTGGGCACTCTGGTGGTGGTTGTGGTTGACTTTTGAGCCGGTGAGTGCAGGGTGCTGCTGCTCTGACCCCACACCTGCCACCTTGTCTCGCTGCTGGCTCTGTGCTCCTTGCCAAGACACCCGAGGAGCCAGAGCAGCCCCTCTGCACGGGTGTCCTGGGTCTCTGTAGCCAAGCCTGTGTAAGGAGACAGGCAGGTAGGATGCTGTGAGTGATAGAGTTGCTTTTTCTTCCCAGCCCTTCCCCTTTGTAAAGCTCCTTCAGGTATTTCAAGTGAGGAAAAATGCTCTTTTTAAAAATACTAATCAAACGTGGCCTGGCTTTGTTGTTGTAAGAGCTTACTGCTTGTAAGTGTTTTTAACTGCTGCTTTGTGAAGCTTAAAATTTGCTTTATTTAGTTTAGAAAATTAATACCCGTAGCAGGATGAAGTGGTTTGAGGGATTGCTTGAGACAAATGCCTCTTGTCTGCTGCTAATGACTGTGTGATTGCTCTTTTACTCTGTGTTACCTGGGATGTACCAGCAGTAATTCGTGGTCCTGCAAAAGAGACTTGAGAAAATTGTAAGCAGGGATAAATTGGTCTCCAGTTTTCTTAGCAAATGTGTTGGTGGAGTTTTGTTCTCTTTAGCTTTATAGCTCAGACTGGGGATCTTCCCTGGGCTTGGCTTCTGCAGTTGTTTAAGGTAGCTGCTACCTGCAGCTGCTAGCCAAGGTTCCTCCTCAGTAGCAGGGAGAGCACAAGGAAACGTGCTGGGTTTTCTGTGGCTTATTTTTGTTGCTTCATATAGTAACTTAGTTTTTGTAAACTGCTGGGAAGTTTTTCAAAGCAAGCTCAAAGATCAAGGTGCCGTTAAAAGTCTTAGAAGAGAACCCTCTCTTTGAAGAACTTGTCTGAAAGTAGAATAAAATGTGACCAAATAGAATCATTGAATGGTTTGGGTTGGAAGGGATTTTAAAGATCACCTTGTTCCAACAGGAACAACAGCAGGGATGCCTTCTGCTACACCTGGTTTCATAGATCTCCTGGCTTTTAAAGACCCTTTTCTTCACCTGTTTAATTTCATCTTCTCCTCCCATTCCCTGCCCAGCTCTCCCTCAGTGCAGCAGCCTCGGCACATCCAACCCAGCGGCTTATCTGAGGTGTTGTGATTTACACCCAAGTTTGGGGAGCAGACTGGCTGGTGCTTTCCCAGTAGTTGGATCACTTAGGGAAGATCTTCAGCTGTCGTGGGCTGTTGCTGTGTGCCAGCTCAGACACCCACTGGTGCTGTTCCCCTGAGATTTTTGTGCTCACAGCAGCACTGGGGTGAGGGTGGAGGTTGCAGGGATGCAGGAGCTGCTGCTGACTGGGAGTGTGCCGGACCAGCCGGCACGTGTGGGGCTGAACGGCTGTGATGGAGGTGGGAAATGGGAGCAGGAGGCAGCTGAGTGAGGGGTGTGGGTCTCCAGGTCTTGAGCAGACGGCATCCAGCCCACAGGGTCTCTCTCTGTGTCGGGGACCATATGGTGCTGTATTTCACAGCCGGCCCTGTGTGATAAAAGTTCGGCAGCGAGCATAGATGAAAGGGAAGGGGTGGTCTCAGAAATGTTTGCTGCTGCTTGTGCTTGGATCTCTCATGGAGATGGTGATTGCCAGTGAAATATGTTAGGTTATGCCACAGCTGGGCTGGACACACCTTCTCATGACAGGGACAGGAATGGACTGCTGTGGGATGAGATAAGGTGTTAGTTAACGTGTTGGTGGGAAGCACCTGCATATATATCCCCATCCTGCCAAACATGAGGTTCCTGCCCATCAGAGGCACTCTGGTAGGGTCTCTTCTCCATTTACCTCTTTCCAGGCTGTGCTTGGTTGGTGGGGCTGTGCCAGAGCAGGTGTCAGAGCCGTGCAGTGAGAGCCTCTCCCAGCGCAGAGCTGCAGGTCTCTGTGATCTGGAGGTGGGATTGCCTCCAGCCCCACAGCCCCAGGGGAGTGAGAGCCTCCCTCTTGCTAGGTGTGCTTGGGCAGCCCCATGAGGAGGGTCCTGACAAGAGCTCAGGGTGCCCATGGTGGGAGATGGGATCCTGCCAAGGGAGCTGCCGGTTTGCTAGAAGCCTTCTCCTAAATATGGACATGATTATTTTTATTTATTTCTTTGCTTGCTCTGGAATCTTTGCATTTTTTCCCTTAATCCTGGAGGAAAATCAGCAGTGCCCTGCATGCATGTGACATGGCTGTGCACACACTCCCTTTGTGACTTCTTTCTTTCACGGGAGAGAAACATATTCAGGAAAAGCAGGGCCCTAACAACAGGAATCAAGTGTTTCTAAATATGGACATCCCTTTTTGGCCTAAAAAGTCTTTTTTGTACCATGCATATTTCCCCTGTTAATCATTTCCTTTTGTTCCTTGCAAACTTGGGTCCTCCAATGTTATAGAAGGAATTATAGCCTCTCTGTTTGTAAACTTTCCTTTATGATCCATGAACTGCCTTGCATGTTGGACGGATTTGCTGGGTTTTCTTTTTAATGTGGTTGGAAAGGCCAGCACTCCGGTTACTCACCCTTGGCTTTCCCTTTTTTTTAAAAAACAGTCATATTTGGCCTGTGCCCGTCTCGAAATATTGGGGATTTTACAGGCCATTGAGCTTTGCCTGGTCCTATTCACTGCTTTTGTGTTGCACTAATTGGCTTGATAAAGAAGGGCCTGGGCTCTGCGGAGCGCTTCTCCTCCAAGGTGAAATGTGAGATGGAGGGGGAAATATTCAGATGTTCACTAGCAGTTATGCTCGCTGGATAATCTGAATGCATCAGAAATGAGCTAGAGCTCAGACAAAGTAGGGGATTAGGAGTCTGAGATGGGCGAGCGGGTGGACATCTGGAAGCCTGCTGTTTAGCTCGTCTGCTGGGGTGGGTTGCGTCTTCAGTATGTGGGTTATAGGCACCGAAAATGAACAGCAAGCTGGGAGCTCTGTGGATATATTCCAAAATAACGATTTCTGTTGTTATTTACGGAGGACCCCACCCTCCCCAGCAGAGCTCTGTGCGTTCAGGCTTCCCCTCTGACGCTGGAGGGACATGCTCTGATGGCACGGTTTGTATGCACCACCTCTGCCTGCTGCTCTGAGGTTTTGGGGAGAAGCCTTGCACGCCCTCGTGGTGGTGTTACAGTGGATGCTCAGGCCCTTGGTTGCACAGAGGTCCCTGTGATTTTGGACAGGTGCCCAAACAGAGTCCAACAGAAGACCAACTGCTTGGGGGAGGAGAGAAACCCAGCCTGTGGCTTCTGAGCCCTTCCCATGTGCAGAGCCCAGTTCTCCTGAAGCTGAGCTTGCTGTTAGCACGGGACTGCTTCTGCCCCCACCAGCATCTGCTGTGGAGCATTGTCTGCCTGGGGTCAGCTTCACCCACCCCATCCCTCTCTCCCTTCCAGCCCCTTGCCCTGATCCCTGCAGGCACAAGGTTGTGACTTGGTCCTCAGACTGTGGGTGGAACAGTTTTCTGCATTTGATGATGAAATAGGAGTTGAAAAATCCTTCTGCCTTTTTGAATACACAGTGTTGGAGAAGGAATTACAAATATGTTGTGAACAGAAATAGCGGACTAGTGGTTTGCTTTGTTTTGTTTTTCCTCAAAAAAGTAATTTCTTTCTCAACCTCTTGGCATGTTCTCCCTTTCTGCTCCTCCATCTCCAGCACTTTGCTCATGCTTCCATCCCCTTTCTGCACAGCCTACCTTGGCAGCTTCAGTTTTGGCCACAGCTGTAATGTCACTAAATGTGGCTGTACACAGCTGGAGCCGTGCAGTGCTCCCAGTAAATACCCAGTGCTGCTGGAATAGCATCCTGCCTGCCCACAGGTGGGAAGCAGAAGCATCACACTGAGCAAGCTGGCACTGGGAGGTTCCTTGTTCAGGGGAGCAGTGTAATTCTCACCCTACCCAGTTTCTGGCAAAGTGGCTTGAGGGGAAGGTAAAGAGGGGACCTCCAGGCATGAATGCGTCACCCTGAGGCAGATGCACGAGGTTGGTGCTGCTTTGGGTCGTGCTTGGGATGATAAAAGCAGGGGGATTTTTAATTAAGAAGAATAATCAATGCTGCAGAAGAGAGGCAAGTACCAGGGCAGCAGGGACCTGGGCAGGGTTGGTTGAAGGACACGTGTCCATTGCTGCTGGACACGATATCCCAGGGAATTAAAAGCAGGACTGAGGAGTGAGCCTGAAGCAGCCGTGCGGCAGCGTCCACTGAACGTGCTGACTCAGCCATACATGCCTGTGTTGTGTCACAGCTGTGCAAAATTTAGGGAGAGAAGGAAAGCACCGTTTCCATTTTTTTCTAGTTTGTGGGGGATAATCTTGTTTCGCCTGTCATCTGCACATCTGACCCTTGGTGCTCTGGGTGCAGCACCAATGGGTGGCAGTTCCTGCTGTGCTGCCCTCTTTTATTGCCTGTTTTTGGTAAAACTGCCTTGTTTTTATTTGGAAAGACCTTACTGGGGAGCAGAGCTGAGTCCTGGTGGGCACTGGCACCCATGAAATGTGGTTGATGTCTTATGTTTTCTCCGTGTGAGCTGAGGGAGCTGCTGCTGAGGGCGACCTGCGGGTGCTGGCTGGTGTGTGGGTGCACAGATAAACCAGCTCCTTTGCTGGGACCAGAACACTGGGGACCCTGCCTCTTGGTCTGTGCTGGCAGCATCTTTTGGCTGGAGGGATGGAGGTCTGGGGGAGTGGTACAACACTGCTGCTGTCACCTGTGGGCACCCTGAAAGCCAAACCTCTGGAAAGCTGGGTTCAAAATCCTCCTTTTAATCCCAGGATGGGAGGAGGAGTGTGTTTTGCCTGAAAAGCAGGGCCAGAAAGGTGTGTGTGTGCACTATGGGGGGACTCTTGATTTTACACAGACGAAGTACAGTTAAGCATCACAGTCCCAATTCTTCCACCAGCAGCTCAGTGCATTGGAACTGCTCCATGCCAGGGGAAGAGCCTGAGGGGCTGCCCAGAGGCTTTAGGACCCCATGGCAGGGACAGGGCACCCTGCAGCTCCCTGATACTCTTCTGGGCTGGCAAAGCCTTTGCTGTGAGGTGGAGGATCCAGGTTTGGGGGAGGCAGCCCTGAGCCCCAGGTCAGCTCCCCAGTTTGAGCAGGGGATGCTCCTGCAAACAGGAGCTGCTGGGAGTTTGCATCCTCCTCGGCCTCAGCCCTGAAGGAAGCCTAAAGCCTTGGTCAATAATAAGCTTATAAGACAGTAAATCTTGGTAATGAGAAAAACAGAAGACGGCATCTGCTCAACACAATGGTGCTGTGTATGGTCTGGTAAACAGCTATTGAAAGGAGTTGCCCGTTATCAGAGGGGTTACGGCTGAACAGCCCAATTTCCCTGCAGGATCGGGGGTTTTCACTGCCCCCAGCCCTTTAGGAGTGGCTGCTGGAATCCTGTTGGAGCTGAGCATGGGGAGAGGTGACCTGTTGCCCGCGAGGCCCAGAGTTTGCCCACAGGCCCTGCTGTGAGACCAGAGGCGAGTTGCCATCGTCCTTCGTGTGTGGAGCTGAAGGTGTGACCTTCACAGCTGTTGTCGTCTTCTCCTCCTGTGCCCATTCCAATGCCTCTTTGCAATGGCTGCGCTGGGAGGTGTACATAACTTTGGAGGGTGCTCTGCTGCAAATGATTGGGGTAAAAATGGGAAACAGTTTCTTCTCTTGTCGTGTTTTTGGAGATGCCAAAATGAGATGAGCTGATTGGCAACAGGCACCCGAGCATGAATGAGTTGTGCAGGGGGTGGCAAGAAAAGGGAGAGGCTGGATCTTCACTTGAAATCCACTGGGATGAACCTAGTGCCCATGGGGTGGGAGCTGGCAGTGGTCTTGCTCCTGCTCCAACTGTGTGAAGCCAGGTCTGCAAAATGGGGAGGAGGAGGAGGAGGGGAGAGTTAAGGGGAAGGAATCTGCATATGGTGTGTAATGCATTTATGAATTGGGTCTTTAATAATTTACATTACCAGTTTAATACTTTGAATACAAATTATCTTGCCCATATGCTGTGCTGACAAACATAAAAATGGAGTAATCAAAGCTGTAATAGCACTACAGCAAAAAGACATAAAATGCCACTAGAAGGCTTAGGATAAATTATTGCATGCACACACTAGCTCTACGGCTCCCTGGTGCCAAAGGATGCATTGCAATTTCTTCCTTAGACTTTGTATTTGGGCTTGAGGACTGGTGCAGTACCAGGAGTACTGCTCAAAATTCCACAAGATGGGCAGCGTTTAACAAAGAGAAGGAAAGAAAAAAAGTCTCAGACTAGTTTGATAAACACCGCAATTTAAATTCTTCTCTGGCATTACATGGGCTGCCAAGGAAATATAGCCCTCTTATTTGCAGGGAGCCCCCTTCTTCTTCCAGCAGGGTTATTTGCATGTATTATAAACTGCAGTGCTGGCTTGCCATCTTCAGGCAGCTGCCATGCACTGCACAGCATCCCTGTGTATCCTTGTCCATCCCTGTGCTAGTTGGAAGTGGTAGGTCCAGCCTGGGTCAACAAGGGATGCCTAAGCAAGGATGCACCAGGTGATCCAGGCAGTGGGCAGCATCAGTCCAGGCAAACCAAAAGATTCACCTCATTCCTCTTCACAACTGTACTTGCTCCCTTCTGATGCCTGAGTTCTGAGGGGCTGGAGGAGGTGGGAGAGGATGCAACAGCCCTGGGCTTTTGGTGCTGCCTCTTGGCCACTCTTGGGCTGTGGTTTGGGTACAAGGAAACAGTATGGATGGCCTTGAGAGCTCATGGATGCTGCAGGTGACTTAGTGGTTTGTTTTTAACAGTCTTTTGGTGCGTGTGTGCTGGTGTACCAGGCATCCCAAAGGGCACAGGACTCTGCAGCAAAAGGAGCAGGTTTGCAGAGCAGAGAAGCGAGTAGTGCTCACAGGGGATAGCTGCAGTTTGGAGATGTCAGTAGACCTTGTGTTGTACCTTGTGGCAGAGCTTTTAAATACCAGCCCATTCACTGGTGCCACATCTCAAATGTAGCATCCCAGCTACAGGCAATCTTTCACAGAAAGAGCCATTTAAGGCTCACATTTGCATACACTGAATTTCTCAGCTATCAGGGTTACTCCATACTGTAATCCATTCTGTGCTTCTAATACGATCAGTGAAAAATGAGGCTTCTTCCCAAATAAATCATCAGCAATAAAGGAAATGGTGGTTTTCTATAAGGCCTGAGGCTCCTGCTGTAGCAACGTCTCTTCCAAAAGTCAGAGAAATCTGGGCGGGCTCATTCTGTGCTGCCTGAGGTCACTGCCAGTCACCCAAGGACCCAAACCCTTTGTATATAAATGAGTTTTTCCTGCCTTTAACTCCCCCAGGATCTGCTGGTGTCTGTCTCCCTGGAATGTGGTGCCAGCAGCTGGGGTGCAGCACCCCCAAAGGCTCGGGTCACCCCTCTTTGGCTCATCCATTAATGCATGCATTGGTGCACACATACCTCTCTCTAATATGCTGAGGGGGCAGGAATGGATGCCAGTGTTTGGGATCCTGTGCCCTGGTGAGGTGGGCATTCAGGGCTGCAGGAAGAGAGAGCGAGCACCCTCCTCCTGCCCACCCTGCCTGTCCCTGTTCTCCACCTTGCCCAGCTTCTCATGCACCCCCAAAGCCTGGGTTTCCCTCTGAACAGGGTGTTTTGAAGGAGTCCCATTCCATCCCCTGGCTCTGGGCAGCAGTCATGTGGCACAGCAACCCTATTATTGCAGCCAAAACCCTCAGTGCAGAGGCAGCACGAGCTTGTCCTGCCAGGGGTGATGGGGGCTGCCTGGGTGGGCAAAGGTACCTGTATGAGCCAGAAGGGGGAGGGACAGGTGGGCATCCAGCCCCCACTGGAAGAACTTTTCCCATTGCCAGGTCTTCTGGAGAATAAGGCCCTCACTGATCCTTTTGCTCCACAAATAAATTGGATGGATCAAGACCACAATGAGAAATATCCCCATCCTCATCCAGAAGGGATTTTCAGCATAAAAGGCTTTATGTGACTCATAAACTCTAACATTTATTTCTGCACATGAGGTAAATATTTCCCTCTCTGAACGTCTAAGCAATGCAATTTTGTTTGAAGCCTCCATTTGTTTAAGTCTGGAGGTGACAATAATTCACCTGTTTTCCCTTCCTGTGTTCCCCCAAGCAATGTCGTAAGCCAAAATAGAGCAAACTCAGCTCTGGCTGTTTGTCACTTGTCAGCTCCCTCCTTCAAACATGTTCAGATGAGCTTTGTCCTGGAGTTTACATTTGGGCACCTTCTGATCTCTAGCTGTTGGTAAATGGCCCTGCGTTCTCCTGTTTAGAGGAAGAAATACAGCACACCTGCATGGAGCCACTGCCAGGGCAGGCAGGAAAGAGAGACATAACTTAATCTAACTCCAGATAAATCATGATTTCACAGCAATCTGCCTGCCACGGGCAGTTGAGAGCCCCATCTCCTTGGCACTGTAACAACACTTGTCACTCAATGTCCCAAAGAGACCTGCTCACGGCCAGAGATCACAGATGACTGAGAAGATGCCTGCAGTTGTAAACACCATCAATCTGGAGAAAACAAACACTGCCGGGAGCCAGTGTCAGATGAGGATGTACGAAGTCAGCGCTTGTCTCTGCAGACCATGGGATGTGCCCATGGGCCACATGGACCCCCGACCTCACACCTCCCCAGGTCTGTTGCCACCTGAAGCTCCAGCAGCTCCAGGGAGGCAAAGTGCTGCCAGTCCTCTTCCCTGGGAGGGCTTGGGTCTCCAGCTTCTGGAGGCTGTAGCCCACTATGTAGCCCCCACCTCAGGAAGGGGGACCAAAGTAGGGGTTAGCTGCTGAGGGGCAGAGGTGTTGGGGGGTGGCCTTGAGGCACTGTCTGCTTTTGCTCTTTGAGGGAGATGAGAAAAGGATGCTCCCATTTTGGTGGTAGATATGGCTTCTGCCTCCTCTACCCCTGCTCTCCTGCTCCCAGCTGGGACTCCCCTATTCCCCCTGCAGCTCCCTGGGTCCCTGCCTGTTGTCCAGGACGTGTCCATGTCCAAGCCTAAACTCAATGCTAACATGCACAGGCTGTTTCTTTATCTGTCTGCCTCTTTTTTCTCTTTCTTCCTTTTTTTTTTTTAAAGAAAACTGAATCCAAGGCTGCCATGTAGTGATGCTGATGACATTATTGTTAGTCGTTATTTCTATTTCCATAGCTCCAAGAGGCAGCAGAGAACAGAGTCCCACTGGGTTAAATGCAGCACATGCCATAACAAAAAGACAGTTTGGGTGCCAAACAACTCGCAATCTTCTTTTTAATGTAAGCAATGTAAAATTAAGATTACTATAGCAACATCTTGCCCACGTTGCACACAGATAGGATTTGTTGGTCTTTATATATATATTTGCGTGTGTGTATGTGTATATATATGTAATGTACATATACAAATCCTAAATATCTCTGGCAACTTTTCCTACAGTTGAATTTATATTTAATTTCAAGCTCTCTGTATCTCAGCTCGAATTTGCATCCAGCTTTCCCTCAGCAGCCTTCCCTTTTCCTTCAAGCTGCTTTCTGCACACTGTGTGCCAGGCTGAAGTCCCCTCTGCCTGGGGAGAGCACTTGGCCCCTGGTTGGGAGCAGGGACATGGAGAGACTTGACTGGAGAGAGGGCCATCCCATCTGCTGGGGGTTTCATTTTAAGTGGATACAACCCTTATAACTGACTTTATGTTAAAACTCTAAATTTGCTTTCTTCAGTTAGGTTTTAGGAGAGTAGGGTGAACCTCTGGCATGCAAATCCCAAATTTTTCTTCCCATCTGTCTTCTCTCAAGTTATTAGTTCAGCTTTAAATGAAATTTCCTATGAATTATGAACCGCAGCTCTCGTTTATTCTCCATGACTGAATAAAACCTGGGCCCAGAAATACCTGCAGGAAGGACAGAGCACACCCAGGAGCTGAGGGAAAAGCAGCAGGAGGAGGGATGCTCTACAGCTCAGTGTCCCTTAAATTCTTCAGGAAAGCAGCAGAAATGCAAGCACAGTTTTCACCTTGTTGCAGAGGTAAGTGGAGTTACTGATAAAGGAGAATTTTAACACCTCCAGATCTGAGGAGCTGTCTTTGCTTACGAGTCTACAATCAGGGAGGAGGGGAAAGCCAGGCACCAAACTGTGCTCAAGAGATCCGAAGGGTACTGCTTTCTGCCAAAGAAAGACACACCAGAGGGATACCCACTTCTCCTGAGGAGCAGGAGGAACTTGCAGCTCATTTGTAGCAGCTTTGAGGCTGTGGAGTCGAATGTGCACAGTTGGAGGGCTGGTGGATTTGCTGTTTTGAGACCAGACTGTAATGGAGATCTGAGAACCAAAACTGAAAACGTCTGCTGGCAGGTCTGCATGGAGGAGCTGGAAAGCAGCCTGGAGTTGCCAGCTGCAGATTTGTGGTGCCTCTGACTTAGCAGAATTAAATACAAGGAAATAAATCACAGGCAGCTCTGCCTGCGGGGTCTAGAAGGAAAGCAAAGTGTCTGGGGTGAGGCAGGTGAGCAACCCCGCTTCCCAGCGTGTCTGTGGGCACGGCAGAAGCGGCAAAGCAAAGAAGGGATCTGCACACCACACAGGGGCCAGCTTTCAAAGCCCACCCAGGCAAATGGAATGGGCTTTTCTTCAGACAGAACTGCTCTATGAGCAGGAATCAATACCCTTCTGCAGAGCCTGCAAAAATGCTGACGAGTGTAAGTGTGCAGAGCTGATGCCGAGTAGGAGGTTTCTGGATGGAGCTATTGAAGAGACGGGCAGGACAGAGCAAGCGCCAAGTGATGCTTCACACAAACACTGGGTGCTGGCGTGGATCTTACAGTGGCAGCAGAAGGTACAGGGGCAGCTGAAGATCGGATCAGGCAATGGGGAGTGGGTTGAAGACCAGTGGAAATTCATGAGCAATCATGCATTATTGTTGAGCAGTCATGTATATATTGTAAGATGGGCACTCAGCTGCAGGAAAGTTGTCCCTTTGCTGAATCAGCCCCAACCCTGGGCTGATCCATAGGTAGAAGAGACATTGCTACCTCCTTCCCCAAAGGAAGGAGTAAAGGCAGGCTCCAGGGGGCTGACATGACAGTGGGACTGGGAACCTGGCTTGGGAGGAGCCAGCAATGTCTGTAGGGCTGAAGAAACCATCTCCAAGACCGTTGGTTAAAATGCACACACACTTTCTCATCTTTTTCTCTTGAAAGGGAACCCACCGGGACAAGAGACTGTTTATGATGAAAGTTAACTCTGGGCTTCCATGGGTAAGGGCAGCTGCTGTGAGCAGTGTGAGCACCAGTGCACTGGGTAAAGGTTTGGTGTGCAACTTCAACCCAGAGACCTGGTTGTTCACCCCTTGGAAATGCTGTGGAGCTTTGCAGGTGTGCTGGAGTGTCCGGTGAAATCAGGGCTTTTGATGGGAGTATGGCAAGAGAAGGGAATCCCTTCCCTTTCCCCAGGGGGTTTCCCATCTGGGGACTGCACAGTTCTGATATGTACCAAAGTGACAGCCTGAGCAAAGGGAATCTCTTCACTGGGGAAAAAACTCTGGCTTTGGAGTCAACTGGCTGCACCCCTCTGTTAACTCTGCCACACTGACGCTGTGAGTGGCTGCACTTCCGTAGGGGCAGGTGGGTACCACACGTCCTCCTTGGCTTCACGGCACTGCTGTGCCAGCCATCATCCCCATCACCTCTCCACTTTTTATTTCTCTTGACCCCCGTGTTCCCATCAGCCATTTTTAAGCAAGCCTGCCACCAAGACCATAATCGGTTCCCATGTCCTCCTATTTATGCTCTCACCCAGCAATTTGCGCAGGGCTGTCGAGCTCTCTGCTCGTAATTGACGGGGGAAAGCAATCTGCTCCACAAGAGGAAACATCTCCACTGGCTGCTGCGTCCGAGCAGGCTATTTCCCATAATGAGGATGAAGTAAAACAGGATCTCACTAACAGCCATGGATGTAGCTGAGCCCTCATTACTGCAGGCACAGAGGTGGTGTTTGGGACATAATTAAGAGCTTGATATTTGGAGTGCAGCGTGTCGCACTGTCCTTCCCATGCTGCTGCCTCGTAGCAAGGCATTTAGAGCCAAGTGCTCCTCAAGTTTGCTCGAGTCACAGCTCCCACAGTCCAGGCTGCAGGAGGGGCTGCTTGGGAAAAAGGGAAAGCTCCTTGTCTTCTTTCCTAAGACAGTTGTTTCTCTCCTTGCAGAGGATGACCATGGCAAATTTCAGCCTTAGCACTGGAAAGCAGCTACCAATGGCAATGGCTTGAGCTGTCCCCAGCTGGAAAAGCAGCTTGGACTTGGTGTGGGCAGAATGTTTGCAGGTGGGTGTACATCTGGGTGAACTGCAGTGCAAATAGGGGATGGGGAGGGGGGAATGTGGAGGGGAGAGTCCCCAGCGCATCTCAGCAGTTTCTCACTAATACTTTCACACCATTCCTGCCCAACAAGGCCAGGTGCCTGAGCCATCCTGGATGTCTGAGGTGCTGCACAAACTTTTGGGGGTATTGGAGATAAGAGGAACCACCTCTGCTTGGACATTATCCATGGAGAGGAGAGCTTTCCCTCCAGGCTCTCAGGGAGGCAGCCAGTCTTATCTCCTAGAGGCCCTAAAAGGGCACTAACTAGCCCTTTTCCTTGGGATCTAAGCACAGATAAGCTTATGTTCCTCCTCCCTGTACAGGTGTTGGTAAGCTAGGTAATACCCTGGTGAGTCCAAAAGATTGGTTTGACCCCTCCAGCTGACCTCTTATAGGAGTGAACCCCAGGATTAGAGGAGGGGAGAGAGAGGGAAGTGAGAAAGGGGCTGCAAGAGCACTGGGAAAACTGAGAGCAATCCAGCATCCCTGCAGGTGCCAGTGTGGGAGTCTGAGAGCAGTAGGATTCCTGTGTGCACAGCATGCTGGGGCAAAAGGGATGGACTGGAAAGGGGATGGCGAAAGGAGACCTGTAAGGAGCAGGAGCGGGTTTGTTGTTGGTTTTTACTGGTAGAAAAGGTACTGGATGAGGAATCTCAATGGGAAAATATGAAGTGCTCCCTTTTATCCCCCTCTTTTTCTCCTGCTATCCCAGGAGGTCTCTGTGGAAGGGAAAAGCCTGGCCCACACTCGCCTGAGCACATGCATTGTGGGCATAGTGTGAGGAGGATGAGTGGTCCTTCTTTTACTTGAGGCAAAAGCAGATCTGAAACACAAACTGGGGGGGCAGCCCCCTTGGCAGCCTGCACAGCAACCAGACTGCCTTTGCTGGGAGCAGGCCCTCTGATTTGGGATTTTTTGGGGGGCAGGATTTAGTAAAATCGTTGAAAAACCCCACATTTCATCCTAGCACCTTGAGACCTGTAGCAAGACCAGTTCCAGCCTGGCCCAGCACGGGATGCTGCCTGATGTAGCTGGTGGTGAGAGCTACCCCAAAGTCCAGCACATGTGCCCCCAGGGATGCAGAGCTGGGTTCAAGCCCCTGATGGTGCTGCAGGGAAGAGCTGGGGTTTCTCTGCACATAGCGGAAGGGCTGGAGATATTTGCTAGCAGAGACTGTACAAACCCCATGCATAATTCAGCTCTGCCCTACAAATCATCCCACCAGTAAAAGCCTTTTCAGAAAGCACGATTTGATTGCAACAAACTTTGACCCAAATGTGCTGCAGCCGACAGCCCCGTATGACAGGTTTTAAACTTTTGCCGTCACTTCCTTCTGAGAGGCAGAGTGAATCTAGGTCGCCCTCACCAGCTTGTTCGTAATGAGGCTAATTCTGATTTCATTCATGTTGCATCCTCGAGTTTGAGATGGGTGAAAAAACGGGAGATTTGAAAAGGCAAGTCAGCCTCAAAGTCATTCTTCTTAAATCCCATCTCGGAGCAAAGGAAGTGGTTTGATGTTGCGTCCCAAGGCAACACTGACGGTGTCACTTAATATTCAGGGTACGAAAGGAATACAGAGTTTTTCCTCTTTCCCTTTTTATTTAGATTGCAGAGTTAAGCAGTTGAGCTGAATGAACGGGGCCTGTGTCCGCAGCTTTTTGAGCGATTAACAAAAAGGCCTATTCTGGGTGAGTGAGCTGTGAGCTCTGCATGAGGCTGCTGCTCCAGGGACAAAGAAGGGAAGTGGCTGAACACGAGGTTATTAGTTTGTCTGGAGTTTCCAGGCAAGCACGACAGCACAAATAGAGCCGCTTGTTTGTTGATCTGTTCTGCGAAGGCAGCTCAGGGCAAGCTGTTGTATTCATCTGTTTATTGCTGAAGCAGCCAGTGCTGTTTTTCCCAAGACTGGGATTCTCCTACGCCATGCACAGGACGGCTGTGTTGCCTCTGCAGTAAATGTTGCTGCACAGTCCAAACAGACAAGAAAAAAGTTTTGGAGAGAGGAACTACTGCTGTATGTGCTTGGCTAGAGAGCTGCAGGTGGATAATGATGATTCCTCCTCTGGTAATGGTTTGGGAACAGCTCTGCCTCCCAGACACGTGCTGGATTTAAGGGCAGAATTGAGATAAAGGGGGGAAAAAAACGGTATTTGCCCTTATGTTGATGCTAACGGCCATGATGCAGGGCTCCTTCACATCCCATCTGGGGATAAACAGCATAGAAGTAGCCCACGTGGCAAAGGATTTATCATCCACGTTTCTGCTTCTGCTTATGTGTGTCTCCCAAAGGCCATTGCTTGAGTCAAAATGCCCACTTTTTGAGAAATAACAGCTTTTATTGCCTGTTGTTCTTGCTGGAAATAAGTGCTTGCTAGGCTGCTGTGGTGAGAGGAGAGGGGTTCAGCTTCACTCAGAATCTTTGCTCTGTGTGTGTATCTGGGGAACAGAGCAGGGGCTCAGTGGGGCACTGTCAAGGGAGACCACTGAGTGTTACTGCTTGGGGACCTCTGTGTTAGGAATGACTTTAAAATTGCCTTTGCAGCTCACTGAGAGTTATTTGCCCTGGGGAAACCACTAACCTGCCCTGTGATCCTGGTGGTCCCTGTGCTTCTGGTACCTGCTTTTGCAAGGGAGGGAGTTACAGATCAAAGATGCCTTGCCTTGCACCCTGCCTGCAACTAAGACAGTCAGCCTAGAAGTTCAGGGGGAGGTTTTCTGGTGCCCTGATTTTCTATCTTTCTCCTTTCTTCTCATGTCTCTTCCTTCCTTTGAAGTGGGACACCAAGGCACCTTTGAATGAGCTCATGTTGGAATTCTGGATTTTCCATCCTGGTATTCCTTATCCAGTGCTAACCTACCTGTTCTAGGGAGTGCCCAGGGGGCCACTAATTATTTTGGTAAGCATGAGGAGTTCCCCAGGTCCAGGTAAAGGGAATGGATATGTCACTGTCCCTAAGCAGGCTCAGTCAAAACAACAAGACAAATTTGCCTTAAATATACTGAATTCAGTAGAGTAGTATTTGTGGAGAACAGCCATTATCTTTGCATATTTGACAAAAGTTAATTGTCTCTGTGACAAAATCAGTGTAGTAGTCAGCCTGTCCCTGTATAGGAGGAGAAAAAAAATCCTTCATTTATAAGCGATTCATTAAGTAGCATTAAAGCTGTCTCTGAAGACAAAATAATCTTTTTAAAGAGGACTCATGGTAGCGAGAAGGAAGATTAATGCCTCAGCTATTTTTCAATTATGTAAGCTTTCATTTATTACAGTATACCTGGATTAACTCTTACTAAGCTGTGTGCCCTGGTAGGTAGGGTTGGGAAGGGGGGGTGTTTTGTGCCCCTGGACACGAGGCAGGGGCACAGAGAGAGGGATGAATGATTCTCTGCACGTGGCTGCTGTGATGGGTGTGAGTGGCATGGCAGGGGGGTGCCAGGTGATGCCCCTCTCGGCCTCACCATTGCCAAAGCTGTGACGTTTTTGCACAAGGAGTGTGCATTTATGGTGCTTCAATGTCTTGCAGTGATTACATTCTGCTTGATCTTCCTGCTTGCACACATGTACACACCCTCCCCAGTGTAGTTTGGGTACTGAAGGGCTGTGTTTTCTGACTCTAATTCAGTTGCCTTCTCCTGTGATCATGTTCATGATCCTTGCACAAGCAAATGAGCCTAAATTCTTCTAACACACTGGGGATACTCTTATTTCAGTATGATTTATGTCAGTGGTTTCCAGTAAAGTGTAATTAAAAAGGTCTTATTGATACCTCTACCTTCATTTTTTCCCTTGCCACTGCTTCCTAGAGTCTTGCCTTAATTGAAGCAGTGAAGAGTCCATTTAGCAGGAAGGTGGGAGGAAACAGGCTGAATATCATTCATCTAAATCACTCTACCGATGAAAACAGTTGCTCACTACATCTATCAAAATTTCTTCTAAGTGTCTTACGAGAGATTAGTTTCTGCAACTGTGCAGATGCACGCACGCCTGGTAGAGCTCTGCAGACCTTCCCATCCAGGACAGCCACACCAGGCTGTGGAAGAGGACTGCTTTTTGCAGGTATAAATTACGCACCAAAATAAGTTGCCAGATGAAAAGCCATTTTTGTGTTTTTCCTGTTGCATCAGTTTCACAAAACATTACACCCCCTCTACCTCGCACTGCTGTGCAAGCAAGGCTTTTTTAAGCACAAGTGAAAGCCAAAATCTTTGTTGGGCAGCTTTGGTGCTCTTGCCAACACACTTGTATGTAAAGTTCAGGTCCTCTGAAGTCACATCCCAGTTCTCCACAGCCAAAAACAACCTGAGAGCATCTTAAAAGTGGTGCAAAAGCTGCCAGGGAAGATCAGAGTGAAGGTGGAAGGTGCTGAAAGGATCTGTCCATATGAGCTGACCCTGCTCCTGTACCACAGGTAGGTCCTGAACACAGAGCAGCTGAAAGTCTGCGAGCAAAATTTTTTGGTTTACACAAAACCTGCAAAACTATGCAGAATTCAGTGTAGAGTCAAAAGGAAGCCCAAAGAAGCTCAGCTTCAAGCCCAAATCCTCTCTTTTGCAATTTGAGAATGCAGGATATTGATCATTACCTTTAAAAACTCAATTTTTGTTTCAAAACCGAGTGCTCTCCAGTCACGGGGGAAAAGGTAAAGAGACAATCTTGTCTCAGTGAAGTTCTGAGTGCAGATGCAGGGCTGGCTCTGACCCCAGGCCAGTAGGCTGGGACAGACCCTGTTTGCTGCTGGTTTTAGCCTGTGCTGTGCTGCTGCCTGTGCTCTGCCGGCGGGGAATGAGCCATCAAAGCGTTCGCTCTCAGCTTTGTTATCGATTCACTCAACTGGGCAGTTGTAAAACCCCCATGACGGGTTGTGACACAGCCTTTGTGTTTGCTTGGGCACTTTGACCTGCACGCAGAGGGGTGGCTTTGGGCTGAAGCCAGAGGAGGTGGCGATAGGCAGTCCCAGCGCCCC